GAATCTTCTACGTGTGCTCTTACTGATCATCTCTCGACTACCCGAAGCTGCTACTCACCTACGCCTACCACAGCAAACACAACTAGACAGTATCACCAGACCTAAAACTCTACAAAATTCCAAATCGCTATCACAATTATACCCTACACATCACTTTCTCCCTCAACCGCGAAGAATTATCTCCCACCTCCATTTACTCCATACAACCTCCAGTAAATAAATAAATAATCAAGTATGTATGTGATATTATACTATATTCACTTCCCGAAAACTCCATCACAAATCACAACGACAAAACGACTTCATACACAATCATCCAAAAAAGAGAAAACGAAACTTCCTCCCATCAGACATTTATTTATTCATGCTGAATCACACACGTACACAACCCTCCATTTCACGCGTTTATTCCAGCTAGACGTGCTTGTGAATTCTTCCATTGTTCTAGGGGGCCATGAGCAGGGATATATTTCGCGCCAACACCATCCGACACCAACTGACCCTTAGCACGCATCTCCTGGAAACTACCACGTGGCCATTTCGTGAAACCCCAGTTACGTGACACGGCTATCTGCAAGTTAGACACAAACATCATCACTTTTTAACATACTTCATTTCATCACCTTTTTCATTTATCTACACATATCAGTTCAGTTCAAATCAAATCCTATGCATTCCACACATGCCAAAAGCACCAACACCGCCAGTTCGCCTCCGACACAACAACACAACCATATCACCAAAATGTAGGCTACAACGGCCTCTGAGCTCCATCCTTTCGATGCACAGAGTCTGAGTGCAGCCAAAATTCATTCATGTAAGCCATCATCACTGCTTCCAGACGAGTCATCAAGTCAAGAAGCTCGGCTCAGGCTAAGCATAGCATAGCAAAGCATAACAAACACAACACCCTGCTCCACATACTACTTACATCGAAAACCAAAAAAAAATTACCACTACAAATCTCCCTACCACAACCACTTCTCATAGACAAACAAACCAGCCATCAGTAACAACAACACCACACTACCAGCTCAATGTCAACAAACTATTACTTTCAGTAAGATTTCATTTTGATAAATCACAGCGTTCTACAGCAATATAATATCGGGTAATATTACTGTACAACACTGTGTGATTTATCAAAAAAGAATCTTATCCATAATGGACTTATGCTCTACCACTGTGCCCAACTTTCATACCTATATTATTTTCAGTATCCGTATTATATTAATAAGAATAATAAGATATAATAATATACTTTGTTATTACAACTATTTCATGTCTCTGTATCGAATTGGCCATAGTTCAAATATCAAATATCTGAACTTTGATTATTCGACTGACTCATTCTTGCACACAACATGGAACCAACGACAACGGTCGTCGGATTCTAATAGGTGCCGCAACATCACCGTCAGAGGAAAAACTGCCGCACAGACCCACAGACAAGCTCAGAAACCCTCTTTACAAAATATATATCATTCAAAATCACATCTGAGGAGTTGACAACACAGTTACACACACCACTTATCCATCACCAAACAGTCTAACAATATCACTCTCCTTCACTCAACGACGTTGTAGTCTCCTGTCTTCTTCTTTCCTTCTTCCAACAAATCATTACAACAAGATTCACAATTACAAAAGACATCAATACACCTGCAACCAGATTCATGTAGCAAATTCCACTTAGCTAGCTAGCTAGTCAGTCAGTCAGTCAGCCAGCCAGCCAGGGTGCGTGGGTGATTCAACTTTCACGTCGACTGAAATTTCAGTTAATGTAGCACATCAAAGCAAACCACAGACCATTCATTGTCTCTGGTCCTTGAAATGTGCGCATAACAATCCATCACTGCATACCTGGTACTCCACTCTTTTCCGGTCGCTTGTAACTTAACCTATATTTAGACTAACTAACTTCGTCACAACACTAATCTAATTCATCCGACCAATGTTCTAACAACAAACTAATCATCAACGGAAAATAGACATCGTTAAGTTACAGCATGGTAATCTCAGTTGGAACATCTTAATACCCCCATTATGGGTAAATTTTGTTTTCATAAAGTCTCACAGGGTTATACAGTAATGGCTACTGATGACCTTTCGAGCACAATTTATTCCTCATAATCACCTTGATATGACTATGAGCAATAAATTGTGCTCCAAAAGTCATCAGTAAACATTACTGTATAACACTGTGACACTTTATCAAAACACAATTTACCCATAATCGAACTACACTCTACCACAGTGAACAAGTTTTACTCTTATATCAATGCATCCACCCACAAAAAAAGGATTAAACTAGGCTAACACATCTCGGACAACATGTATACAAAGTCAGTGTGTGCCAATACATCTTCCTTTCTCGACTGATCACCTTCAAGAAGTACCCATCAAACCTACTAGAAGTACTTTCCCTCGTCACAATGACCACCACATTTCAAAGTCGTCGCTGTTTCACTATCCTTTCTCACCAGAAGCCTGACGACAACAACTAGGTGCTGAATGCACACATCTAGTCGAAAACCCACACATACACACACATATAGACTAGACCACTAGAGCCACAAACACCTGCACAAACACGTCCTCTATTGTCACCATCACACTACACTACACTACACTACAGCCAAAACAGTTGCCTAAGCAAACTCAACATCACAACCTAAACTCCTACACTACACTACACTACACTCAACGTCCTTCTAATTCACATCCATCCCCACAATCCTGCCCCTCACACTACAAATAACAACCCTAGTCTCATCAGTCAATGTGAAAACAAATACTCTTAACAAAACACCACCTCGTCGTAGTCGTCAACTCTTCCGCCAACCTACCCCAGACAGACACACATTCACTCAAACACTAATCACATACGGACACCAAATACCAAGTACTCACAATTTATCAAAAATCTGACTCACTCACCTTTTGTCGACCTGGGAACTTCATCTTCGCACGTCTCAGAGCCTCAATCACTTGAGCTTGATGCTGATCACGGGCACGAACTGACATTATTACTTGACCAATGTCAACTCGCACTACCGTACCCTGAGGCTAACCAAATGCCCCGGCTATACACGTCTCTCACATCTTCAAACTGCCAATTATCACCTTCACTCAAGGCGACTTTACATCAAAACACCAATTATAACAACAAACATTACTCAGTCACTCATTCATTCGACTCGATCATGCACACTCTCAGTCATTACCAAAACAAAACAACACCAAAACATCATCTCTCGTGTCTCACCAAACCCTAAGCTCGACACTCAGGGTACCATCGTGAAAAACACAATCTTCTTTAGCATTTCTTCCTTGAGACAACGCCACACATGTAGGCTCTTTGTCTCTACACACAGAAATGCAAGCCCCACAAACACTCACTCAATCACATCATCCACCTACTCTCCCACGACACACACTCACTCACATTCCCACACAAACATCCACACTTGCTAGCCAGCCAGCTAGCTAGCAGGCAGCTAACTCACCAACACCATACATACACACCACTACTCAAGACAACAGCTCCACAAACACAATCACGAAAAATCACACTCCAAACACACATACAACATATCAAAGAAAACAACACTCAATACTCACCACCATTCACTCACTGTCACCTACACAAGATCACGTCACGTCAGATGATTAGGAAAACCGAAAAGAAACCACTACACGGACATACAAAATTACTTGAATACAACACTCAATAAAATCAACACATAACACCCACCCAGTACATCCCTGATGTCGCATGGATCCTGTTGCCTGTCCCACTCACGTAGTGACAGCCAGTACATCACATGCTTCACTCACTCAATCAGTATAGGATGTGCTTCAGAGCAAGTCTTCAATCAGACTTGCATGCGACAACATCCAAAGACATCAACTCAATTCTATACTATTCCCTCAACATCACACTATCCACCTCTCTCTCTCTCTCATGCAAAATCGCCAACACAAACACAAACACACACACGACAACAGCCTCACAATCAAAATCCCATACTCACACTCAAACACTCACACACACAATCAACACTTGTGGCTATTCTGCAGATACAACAGCACTTCATGTGTTGCAGTCGGTGAAATAGCCTCTCTCACTCACTCAATCAATCAATCAATCAATTTAGGATATCTTAAGCATACTTGGTGCAAACACCACCAAATACAACTCAATATCCACGATGAAAAATCTCACAACCGACAACCAACCAGCCATCAACGCTTCAACAAACATTCCCACATCCACACATTACACCACAACTCCATCACTATCTCCACTTCAACACCAATTCACGCCCATAATAACCCAAACCTCCTCCTCCTGCAACAACAACAACAACAACAATACACCACACACAACAAAGTCAACTACAATTCAACATCCATGCTCAGCCATGCTAACACACTCCCAGAGATCGCCTACTGTCTTCTTCTCCCTCTCCATTAGAAACAGAGTGGGCGCGATCACCGCATCACAATCCTCCATTTCATTTCAACACCTCGAACAGACATCCTCCTTTCCATCAATTTATCACCTCGTAATCTACTCTACGCTCAACTCATCTCCATGGAATCTTCTACGTGTGCTCTTACTGATCATCTCTCGACTACCCGAAGCTGCTACTCACCTACGCCTACCACAGCAAACACAACTAGACAGTATCACCAGACCTAAAACTCTACAAAATTCCAAATCGCTATCACAATTATACCCTACACATCACTTTCTCCCTCAACCGCGAAGAATTATCTCCCACCTCCATTTACTCCATACAACCTCCAGTAAATAAATAAATAATCAAGTATGTATGTGATATTATACTATATTCACTTCCCGAAAACTCCATCACAAATCACAACGACAAAACGACTTCATACACAATCATCCAAAAAAGAGAAAACGAAACTTCCTCCCATCAGACATTTATTTATTCATGCTGAATCACACACGTACACAACCCTCCATTTCACGCGTTTATTCCAGCTAGACGTGCTTGTGAATTCTTCCATTGTTCTAGGGGGCCATGAGCAGGGATATATTTCGCGCCAACACCATCCGACACCAACTGACCCTTAGCACGCATCTCCTGGAAACTACCACGTGGCCATTTCGTGAAACCCCAGTTACGTGACACGGCTATCTGCAAGTTAGACACAAACATCATCACTTTTTAACATACTTCATTTCATCACCTTTTTCATTTATCTACACATATCAGTTCAGTTCAAATCAAATCCTATGCATTCCACACATGCCAAAAGCACCAACACCGCCAGTTCGCCTCCGACACAACAACACAACCATATCACCAAAATGTAGGCTACAACGGCCTCTGAGCTCCATCCTTTCGATGCACAGAGTCTGAGTGCAGCCAAAATTCATTCATGTAAGCCATCATCACTGCTTCCAGACGAGTCATCAAGTCAAGAAGCTCGGCTCAGGCTAAGCATAGCATAGCAAAGCATAACAAACACAACACCCTGCTCCACATACTACTTACATCGAAAACCAAAAAAAAATTACCACTACAAATCTCCCTACCACAACCACTTCTCATAGACAAACAAACCAGCCATCAGTAACAACAACACCACACTACCAGCTCAATGTCAACAAACTATTACTTTCAGTAGGATTTCATTTTGATAAATCACAGCGTTCTACAGCAATATAATATCGGGTAATATTACTGTACAACACTGTGTGATTTATCAAAAAAGAATCTTATCCATAATGGACTTATGCTCTACCACTGTGCCCAACTTTCATACCTATATTATTTTCAGTATCCGTATTATATTAATAAGAATAATAAGATATAATAATATACTTTGTTATTACAACTATTTCATGTCTCTGTATCGAATTGGCCATAGTTCAAATATCAAATATCTGAACTTTGATTATTCGACTGACTCATTCTTGCACACAACATGGAACCAATGACAACGGTCGTCGGATTCTAATAGGTGCCGCAACATCACCGTCAGAGGAAAAACTGCCGCACAGACCCACAGACAAGCTCAGAAACCCTCTTTACAAAATATATATCATTCAAAATCACATCTGAGGAGTTGACAACACAGTTACACACACCACTTATCCATCACCAAACAGTCTAACAATGTCACCGCCTATTCTACGTCATCTCCCGCCTAATTCGCCTCCTTAACAATAACCACAGACTATAATCGCTCTCCTTCACTCAACGACGTTGTAGTCTCCTGTCTTCTTCTTTCCTTCTTCCAACAAATCATTACAACAAGATTCACAATTACAAAAGACATCAATACACCTGCAACCAGATTCATGTAGCAAATTCCACTTAGCTAGCTAGCTAGTCAGTCAGTCAGTCAGCCAGCCAGCCAGGGTGCGTGGGTGATTCAACTTTCACGTCGACTGAAATTTCAGTTAATGTAGCACATCAAAGCAAACCACAGACCATTCATTGTCTCTGGTCCTTGAAATGTGCGCATAACAATCCATCACTGCATACCTGGTACTCCACTCGTTTCCAGTCGCTTGTAACTTAACCTATATTTAGACTAACTAACTTCGTCACAACACTAATCTAATTCATCCGACCAATGTTCTAACAACAAACTAATCATCAACGGAAAATAGACATCGTTAAGTTACAGCATGGTAATCTCAGTTGGAACATCTTAATACCCCCATTATGGGTAAATTTTGTTTTCATAAAGTCTCACAGGGTTATACAGTAATGGCTACTGATGACCTTTCGAGCACAATTTATTCCTCATAATCACCTTGATATGACTATGAGCAATAAATTGTGCTCCAAAAGTCATCAGTAAACATTACTGTATAACACTGTGACACTTTATCAAAACACAATTTACCCATAATCGAACTACACTCTACCACAGTGAACAAGTTTTACTCTTATATCAATGCATCCACCCACAAAAAAAGGATTAAACTAGGCTAACACATCTCGGACAACATGTATACAAAGTCAGTGTGTGCCAATACATCTTCCTTTCTCGACTGATCACCTTCAAGAAGTACCCATCAAACCTATTAGAAGTACTTTCCCTCGTCACAATGACCACCACATTTCAAAGTCGTCGCTGTTTCACTATCCTTTCTCACCAGAAGCCTGACGACAACAACTAGGTGCTGAATGCACACATCTAGTCGAAAACCCACACATACACACACATATAGACTAGACCACTAGAGCCACAAACACCTGCACAAACACGTCCTCTATTGTCACCATCACACTACACTACACTACACTACAGCCAAAACAGTTGCCTAAGCAAACTCAACATCACAACCTAAACTCCTACACTACACTACACTACACTCAACGTCCTTCTAATTCACATCCATCCCCACAATCCTGCCCCTCACACTACAAATAACAACCCTAGTCTCATCAGTCAATGTGAAAACAAATACTCTAAACAAAACACCACCTCGTCGTAGTCGTCAACTCTTCCGCCAACCTACCCCAGACAGACACACATTCACTGAAACACTAATCACATACGGACACCAAATACCAAGTACTCACAATTTATCAAAAATCTGACTCACTCACCTTTTGTCGACCTGGGAACTTCATCTTCGCACGTCTCAGAGCCTCAATCACTTGAGCTTGATGCTGATCACGGGCACGAACTGACATTATTACTTGACCAATGTCAACTCGCACTACCGTACCCTGAGGCTAACCAAATGCCCCGGCTATACACGTCTCTCACATCTTCAAACTACCAATTATCACCTTCACTCAAGGCGACTTTACATCAAAACACCAATTATAACAACAAACATTACTCAGTCACTCATTCATTCGACTCGATCATGCACACTCTCAGTCATTACCAAAACAAAACAACACCAAAACATCATCTCTCGTGTCTCACCAAACCCTAAGCTCGACACTCAGGGTACCATCGTGAAAAACACAATCTTCTTTAGCATTTCTTCCTTGAGACAACGCCACACATGTAGGCTCTTTGTCTCTACACACAGAAATGCAAGCCCCACAAACACTCACTCAATCACATCATCCACCTACTCTCCCACGACACACACTCACTCACATTCCCACACAAACATCCACACTTGCTAGCCAGCCAGCTAGCTAGCAGGCAGCTAACTCACCAACACCATACATACACACCACTACTCAAGACAACAGCTCCACAAACACAATCACGAAAAATCACACTCCAAACACACATACAACATATCAAAGAAAACAACACTCAATACTCACCACCATTCACTCACTGTCACCTACACAAGATCACGTCACGTCAGATGATTAGGAAAACCGAAAAGAAACCACTACACGGACATACAAAATTACTTGAATACAACACTCAATAAAATCAACACATAACACCCACCCAGTACATCCCTCATGTCGCATGGATCCTGTTGCCTGTCCCACTCACGTAGTGACAGCCAGTACATCACATGCTTCACTCACTCAATCAATATAGGATGTGCTTCAGAGCAAGTCTTCAATCAGACTTGCATGCGACAACATCCAAAGACATCAACTCAATTCTATACTATTCCCTCAACATCACACTATCCACCTCTCTCTCTCTCATGCAAAATCGCCAACACAAACACAAACACACACACGACAACAGCCTCACAATCAAAATCCCATACTCACACTCAAACACTCACACACACAATCAACACTTGTGGCTATTCTGCAGATACAACAGCACTTCATGTGTTGCAGTCGGTGAAATAGCCTCTCTCACTCACTCAATCAATCAATCAATCAATTTAGGATATCTTAAGCATACTTGGTGCAAACACCACCAAATACAACTCAATATCCACGATGAAAAATCTCACAACCGACAACCAACCAGCCATCAACGCTTCAACAAACATTCCCACATCCACACATTACACCACAACTCCATCACTATCTCCACTTCAACACCAATTCACGCCCATAATAACCCAAACCTCCTCCTCCTGCAACAACAACAACAACAACAATACACCACACACAACAAAGTCAACTACAATTCAACATCCATGCTCAGCCATGCTAACACACTCCCAGAGATCGCCTACTGTCTTCTTCTCCCTCTCCATTAGAAACAGAGTGGGCGCGATCACCGCATCACAATCCTCCATTTCATTTCAACACCTCGAACAGACATCCTCCTTTCCATCAATTTATCACCTCGTAATCTACTCTACGCTCAACTCATCTCCATGGAATCTTCTACGTGTGCTCTTACTGATCATCTCTCGACTACCCGAAGCTGCTACTCACCTACGCCTACCACAGCAAACACAACTAGACAGTATCACCAGACCTAAAACTCTACAAAATTCCAAATCGCTATCACAATTATACCCTACACATCACTTTCTCCCTCAACCGCGAAGAATTATCTCCCACCTCCATTTACTCCATACAACCTCCAGTAAATAAATAAATAATCAAGTATGTATGTGATATTATACTATATTCACTTCCCGAAAACTCCATCACAAATCACAACGACAAAACGACTTCATACACAATCATCCAAAAAAGAGAAAACGAAACTTCCTCCCATCAGACATTTATTTATTCATGCTGAATCACACACGTACACAACCCTCCATTTCACGCGTTTATTCCAGCTAGACGTGCTTGTGAATTCTTCCATTGTTCTAGGGGGCCATGAGCAGGGATATATTTCGCGCCAACACCATCCGACACCAACTGACCCTTAGCACGCATCTCCTGGAAACTACCACGTGGCCATTTCGTGAAACCCCAGTTACGTGACACGGCTATCTGCAAGTTAGACACAAACATCATCACTTTTTAACATACTTCATTTCATCACCTTTTTCATTTATCTACACATATCAGTTCAGTTCAAATCAAATCCTATGCATTCCACACATGCCAAAAGCACCAACACCGCCAGTTCGCCTCCGACACAACAACACAACCATATCACCAAAATGTAGGCTACAACGGCCTCTGAGCTCCATCCTTTCGATGCACAGAGTCTGAGTGCAGCCAAAATTCATTCATGTAAGCCATCATCACTGCTTCCAGACGAGTCGTCAAGTCAAGAAGCTCGGCTCAGGCTAAGCATAGCATAGCAAAGCATAACAAACACAACACCCTGCTCCACATACTACTTACATCGAAAACCAAAAAAAAATTACCACTACAAATCTCCCTACCACAACCACTTCTCATAGACAAACAAACCAGCCATCAGTAACAACAACACCACACTACCAGCTCAATGTCAACAAACTATTACTTTCAGTAGGATTTCATTTTGATAAATCACAGCGTTCTACAGCAATATAATATCGGGTAATATTACTGTACAACACTGTGTGATTTATCAAAAAAGAATCTTATCCATAATGGACTTATGCTCTACCACTGTGCCCAACTTTCATACCTATATTATTTCAGTATCCGTATTATATTAATAAGAATAATAAGATATAATAATATACTTTGTTATTACAACTATTTCATGTCTCTGTATCGAATTGGCCATAGTTCAAATATCAAATATCTGAACTTTGATTATTCGACTGACTCATTCTTGCACACAACATGGAACCAATGACAACGGTCGTCGGATTCTAATAGGTGCCGCAACATCACCGTCAGAGGAAAAACTGCCGCACAGACCCACAGACAAGCTCAGAAACCCTCTTTACAAAATATATATCATTCAAAATCACATCTGAGGAGTTGACAACACAGTTACACACACCACTTATCCATCACCAAACAGTCTAACAATGTCACCGCCTATTCTACGTCATCTCCCGCCTAATTCGCCTCCTTAACAATAACCACAGACTATAATCACTCTCCTTCACTCAACGACGTTGTAGTCTCCTGTCTTCTTCTTTCCTTCTTCCAACAAATCATTACAACAAGATTCACAATTACAAAAGACATCAATACACCTGCAACCAGATTCATGTAGCAAATTCCACTTAGCTAGCTAGCTAGTCAGTCAGTCAGTCAGCCAGCCAGCCAGGGTGCGTGGGTGATTCAACTTTCACGTCGACTGAAATTTCAGTTAATGTAGCACATCAAAGCAAACCACAGACCATTCATTGTCTCTGGTCCTTGAAATGTGCGCATAACAATCCATCACTGCATACCTGGTACTCCACTCGTTTCCAGTCGCTTGTAACTTAACCTATATTTAGACTAACTAACTTCGTCACAACACTAATCTAATTCATCCGACCAATGTTCTAACAACAAACTAATCATCAACGGAAAATAGACATCGTTAAGTTACAGCATGGTAATCTCAGTTGGAACATCTTAATACCCCCATTATGGGTAAATTTTGTTTTCATAAAGTCTCACAGGGTTATACAGTAATGGTTACTGATGACCTTTCGAGCACAATTTATTCCTCATAATCACCTTGATATGACTATGAGCAATAAATTGTGCTCCAAAAGTCATCAGTAAACATTACTGTATAACACTGTGACACTTTATCAAAACACAATTTACCCATAATCGAACTACACTCTACCACAGTGAACAAGTTTTACTCTTATATCAATGCATCCACCCACAAAAAAAGGATTAAACTAGGCTAACACATCTCGGACAACATGTATACAAAGTCAGTGTGTGCCAATACATCTTCCTTTCTCGACTGATCACTTTCAAGAAGTACCCATCAAACCTACTAGAAGTACTTTCCCTCGTCACAATGACCACCACATTTCAAAGTCGTCGCTGTTTCACTATCCTTTCTCACCAGAAGCCTGACGACAACAACTAGGTGCTGAATGCACACATCTAGTCGAAAACCCACACATACACACACATATAGACTAGACCACAAGTAACATAAACACCTGCACAAAAACGTCCTCTATTGTCACCATCACACTACACTACACTACAGCCAAAACAGTTGCCTAAGCAAACTCAACATCACAACCTAAACTCCTACACTACACTACACTACACTCAACGTCCTTCTAATTCACATCCATCCCCACAATCCTGCTCCTCACACTACAAATAACAACCCTAGTCTCACCAGTCAATGTGAAAACAAATACTCTTAACAAAACACCACCTCGTCGTAGTCGTCAACTCTTCCGCCAACCTACCCCAGACAGACACACATTCACTGAAACACTAATCACATACGGACACCAAATACCAAGTACTCACAATTTATCAAAAATCTCACTCACTCACTCACCTTTTGTCGACCTGGAAACTTCATCTTCGCACGTCTCAGAGCTTCAATCACTTGAGCTTGATGCTGATCACGGGCACGAACTGACATTATAACTTGACCAATGTCAACTCGCGCTACCGTACCCTGAGGCTTACCAAATGCACCTCTCATTCCTGTTTGCAGACTACACAACAACAACATTTACAATAACAACAACATAACATACCGATCAACTCCGGCACACGATAACATCTCGTTTATCCGGATAACATGGAAAGGATGCACACGTATACGCCCATGGAATGCATCTTTCCCGCAGTACTTCAACAAATATTTATTCGCACAAATACGAGCAGCTTCTAGTGCTTCACTAGAAAGTTGTTCATACTCATCCGATATCATATGCACACACAACGGGAACTCCTCAACATCTATCCTCTTCTTGCCCAGATCAAAAATTCGAATCTTTGGATCTGGAACACCACGACAAAACCTCGACTTCGGATAAGGTTTCTTCTTGCAATACCGATAACGGAAAACAATAACAAACACAATCCATCCTGCCTACCATCTATCTAGCTGGTCTTCGTCCCATCTCCACAATCACTAATATTCTGTCAGGTCAACGTCAGTCAACTCAAACAAACATCACAACAAAACTCTCGACAACACCTCTGCTAGACGCACCTAAACACACACACACACACATCTACTTCCAACGATAAATATCTACAAATAACAATGAAACAACACTATCCAACTGTCCTTCGAACAACTTCGCCCGGCTATACACGTCTCTCACATCTTCAAACTGCCAACCATCACCACCACTCAAGGCGACTTTACATCAAAACACCAATTATAACAACAAACATTACTCAGTCACTCATTCATTCGACTCGACCATGCACACTCTCAGTCATCACCAAAACAAAACAACACCAGCAACAACAACACCAAAACATCATCTCTCGTGTCTCACCTAACCCTAAGCTCGACACTCAGGGTACCATCGTGAAAAACACAATCTTCTATCGCATTTCTTCCTTGAGACAACGCCACACATGTAGGCTCTTTGTCTCTACACACAGAAATGCAAGTCCCACAACCTACACTCCAACGACAAAAACTCACTCACATTCCCACACAAACATCCACACACGTAGTGTTTCCTGCTTTGCCCTAATAGTTGCAGTGAGAGTGTCCTGTGTGGTTGTGTCTTTCAGTTTTTGCGTGTTGAACTTGCATTGTGGCCTATCCCCAGGTATCCTCGAGGCTTTCAGCTTCACCTTGAAAGTCCCTTGTACTAGATAGTGGTCTGAACGCACATCCCCTCCTCTCCTTGATCTTGTGCCCATTAAGCTCCGTCTCCACTTCCTTGAGATTGAAATGAAGTCTATCTGGTTTTTGGTGTGTCCATCTGGTGAAATCCATGTTGCCTTGTGTATATCCCTGTGTTTGAACACACTGCCACCGATCACCAAATCATTGAAGGCGCAGAAGTCTGAGAAGAGTTCACCATTTTCGTTCATTTCACCGAGGGCCTCACGACCCATGGTGAGTTCTCTTCCTGTATTGCCCCCTCCCAGTTTCGCATTCATATCACCCATCAGGATTGTGATATCGCCGTTTGGGACGTTGTCCATTACTGCTTATAGTTGTCTGCAGAAGGCCTCCTTCTTCTCTTGTTCTGAAACGTTTGTAAGCGCATAGCATTGAATGATTGTAACCTTCCTTCCTTCTTTTTTGGGTTGAACCTGACTGTCATTGTCCTGGAGGAGATTGGTTCTCACTGCATGAGATCTTTAGCTGCTGTAGGTGACATAATGATGGCTACTCCCTCGGTGTGCTCGTGATTGTCCTCTGGGTGACCGGAGTAGATTATTGTCTCCCCAGTTGGTGGTTGGCACCTTCCGCATCCGTTCCATCTGCTCTCGCAGATTCTCAACACTTCTATTTTATATCTCCTCATTTCTGCGGCTACCTGAGCAGACTTTCCAGTTTCGTACATTGTACGAACATTCCACGTCCCCATCCTTACTTTTGCTTTCATCGAAAGGAGGCACATCGGCTGACTGGCTTCCCGAAGTCTTTTACCAGCCTGTGTCATTTCACTTCTCCGATTCCAGCGAAATATGAGGCTATTGTTAATGTTTGTAGAGTTTTTAATATATTTGTGCATTGAAGTTTCTGTGGCGATATGGTTAAGCTTTGGGGGTGGAGTTGCTAGCACCAAGCCCCAACCCTCCCTCTTTATCCGGGCTTGGGACCGGCTAGAAAACTAGTGAGCTAGTAATCTAGGCGAGGTTTTCATATTGGTTACAGCTCCATAATAAAAGTACTTAAATAGTTCCGGTACATCCTCATAGACTTTTCAGTATTGCTAGATCCGAAATGATTAAATACTGATTTCAATATGGCGAAAATATTCATTCAGACATCTATGAAACACAAAATAATTGAGCCAGCAAAGAATATCCTTTTCGACAATTTCCTCCTCTTCTGGCTCTACAATTATTTACATATATGTTTATATACATAGAATATGGAACCCATTGTGAAACAAATAGGCAGGAAAAAATGGAGATGGATTGGCCACACTCTGAGGAAACCAGCAAGTGACATCACTAGACAAGCCCTCGAGTGGAACCCGAAAGGGAAGCGGCGAGTTGGTCGTCCAAGGGTGACCTGGAGGAGATCATGTGAAGAGGAGATGAAAGCATGTGGGCAGACCTGGAGCCAGGTGAAAACTCTAGCAGAGAATCGAACGCAATGGAGACGCATGGCTGAAGCCCTATGTTCCTCTAGGAACTAAAGGAAATAATAATAATAATAATAATATACATAGAATATTCTAGAACAGTAGTCAATGACAGTATTAGTGTTTTTTTAAATAACATTGATTTGTTAAGTAAGATCACAATGGTATTACCACAGTTCATTTAAGATGCTTAAATTATAATAATAATAATAATAAAGATATAGTAGCAGATAGAATATCAACTAAAATTAAGGAAGTTTCCACAAAAATTGAGGATTATTCGAACCTATATGCCAAGATAAGGATGATGTCTGAACCAACCAATTTCTTTTGGACACATAAATTAGGCTTCTTAATGTGGATCTCAACGGCCAGCCTCAGCAATATTTAGTAATCGAACTCTTAAGGCGAAGTTAAGATTTGTTGGTATGCGATAAATGCCTCTGAAAGCTGCCTCGTGGATATCAATCTTGTATTCTGCTCTATCCACAAGATGAGATAGAATAGCGCTACGAATAGATTGTGTTTGTCCTTTACTTAACCAACCACTATGCAGGGTGATGTTCGGAAATCCGATGAGAAACATACCTTACTGTATGGCCTATGTAATTGGCTCACTACACAGGAGCAGTTTAATTGGTAGATGCAAATGGAAGAGGCAGAATGAAAACAATAAATGAATGCAGCAAACGTGGACGTGATATTCAGCTGTCGATTCAAGCGTGTATGTGTTAACACTAGACGAAATAAAGGACTTCGTCAACCATTTACTATGCGATCAACATCACAATGATTCTTGTTATCTCTTGAAGATTCTGAATTATGTCGAAGCCCGGATTTCTTCTTCAACAGAAGAATTAAAAAATATTTCAGAAATAATAGAAAATCGACTAATAAGCAACTCAACAGAAGAGACTAATGATAAGGTGGTTATTCCCGCGGTTGACAACGTTACTTCCTCTTTCACTACAGGTGATTCTGGAGACGACTGGAAGCTGATACCACTTCATTCAAATGCAAACACGGATTCGGTTATCTATGCATCAGAACTCAGTTCACACACACACACATTTACAACAGTTTCTATACACTATTGAGAATGCAACAGCGAAGCTGAAGAACCTGTGGCCGTCACACTGCTGGCGTGTGGTTACAAAATCTGATGAACACGTTCACTACATTATTTACAAATGACCCTCATGGATGACCTCACAATTGATAGTTTTATCTTTTTACGCTCACTCGTTTTCTTTTGTTTCACTATTCTTTGCGTGATTACACATGAACCGAACTTATCTCATGTTATTCCAGTGCAAAAACAGCTCAGCTCTGGAATTACATGAGATAAATTCGGTTCATGTGTAATCACGTAAAGAATAGTGAAACAAAAGAAAACAAGTGAGCGTAAAAAGATAAAACTATCAGTTGTGAGGTCATCCATGAAGGTCATTTGTAAGTAATGTAGTGAACGTGTTCATCAGATTTTGTAACCACACGCCAGCAGTGTGACGGCCACAGGTTCTTCAGCTTCGCTGTTGCATTCTCAATAGTGTATAGAAACTGTTGTAAATGTGTGTGTGTGTGTATCAACTGAGTTCTGATGCATAGGTAACCGAATCCGTGTTTACATTTGAATGAAGTGGTATCAGCTTCCAGTCGTCTCCAGAATCACCTGTAGTGAAAGAGGAAGTAACGTTGTCAACCGCGGGAATAACCACCTTATCATTAGTCTCTTCTGTTGAGTTGCTTATTAGTCGATTTTCTATTATTTCTGAAATATTTTTTAATTCTTCTGTTGAAGAAGAAATCCGGGCTTCGACATAATTCAGAATCTTCAAGAGATAACAAGAATCATTGTGATGTTGATCGCATAGTAAATGGTTGACGAAGTCCTTTATTTCGTCTAGTGTTAACACATACACGCTTGAATCGACAGCTGAATATCACGTCCACGTTTGCTGCATTCATTTATTGTTTTCATTCTGCCTCTTCCATTTGCATCTACCAATTAAACTGCTCCTGTGTAGTGAGCCAATTACATAGGCCATACAGTAAGGTATGTTTCTCATCGGATTTCCGAACATCACCCTGCATAGTGGTTGGTTAAGTAAAGGACAAACACAATCTATTCGTAGCGCTATTCTATCTCATCTTGTGGATAGAGCAGAATACAAGATTGATATCCACGAGGCAGCTTTCAGAGGCATTTATCGCATACCAACAAATCTTAACTTCGCCTTAAGAGTTCGATTACTAAATATTGCTGAGGCTGGCCGTTGAGATCCACATTAAGAAGCCTAATTTATGTGTCCAAAAGAAATTGGTTGGTTCAGACATCATCCTTATCTTGGCATATAGGTTCGAATAATCCTCAATTTTTGTGGAAACTTCCTTAATTTTAGTTGATATTCTATCTGCTACTA